AAAGCCCCCATAGCATCTCCCCTTTTCATGCTCTCTTCTTTCCTTCTAGGGTTCTCAACCTTCAGGTGGGGCCTGAAGATCTCCCGGAACCACAACAGATCTCCCATTTAGAGATATCAAAGCCACCTGTAGGGTTGCTAACTCCAGTTTAGGAAATTCCTTGAGATTGTTTTGTTCTGGATATCTTAAGCTTCAGAATGGCTCTAGAGGTGGAGATTTGGGGCAGAAAGTATTATAAAGTGAAGGAATTGAGGATCCTTTTTCTTATGGAATATTGAAGAGCTAGTTCTCCCTCTGAGGTGGAGGGTTTGGACTGTTTGGTGCGGGAAGCTTGTTGTCCGGAACCGAATTTCGGTTTCTGAAAGGCGGGTCTTTGGCCTCCCGAAGACGTTCGTAGTCTCCATCGTGTGTCTGGAGACTGATAAGCTGAGGTACGTCTCTGCCAGGACCTCGACCAGGTGCAGGGCCGGTATTGTTGTTTTGCAGAGGAAGAGACTCCTAGAGCTCGAGAAGCCTTTATGCTTTTATCCAACTCTTGTAGAGTAGAATCAGTGGTAGCATTGAAAAGCCCCAGGCCATCGAAAGGGAGATCTTCCACATAAGATCTAGTACCTATCGGGAGATTAGTGTTGCGGAGCAAGGAATGTCTTCTGAGTGCTATTGCAGAGGCCATCGTTCTGGAAGATGCCTCGAGGGCATGTTTAGTAGTGTTGAGCTGTTGTTTTGCCAACACCATGCCCTCTTTTTGTATGACTCTGGCTGCTTGAAGTTTGTCGTCAGGGAGGTGGCTGAGGAGTTCTGAGAACCGTTCCCAGAGAGTATATTGATACCGGTTCATACAGGCCAGGTAGTTAGTGGCCTTGACTCCCAATGCTCCCGTGGAGTAGAAGCGCCTGTCGAAGGCATCTAATTTCCTTCCTTCCTTGTCAGAAGGAGCGGAATGCGTCCTCTTGGATTTGGAGGAAGATGTAATCACCATAGAGTTTGGCTGAGGGTGTGAGAATAGGAATTCGGCATCTGCCTTCTTGTACCCTGTACATATGGTCCAGTCGCGTTGTGGACACAGGAGCAGACAAAGGTTTTAGCCATGGTGTCTTTGCTGCCTGCAGAAGGACTGAAGACATGGGCAATGCCAAGGTGGAAGAGGTATCTAGCTGAACTATATCATAAACTGCATCCGTTGCCTGCAAATGTTGCTGGATGACAGAGAGGCCTAAAGAGTGGGCCATTCTTTTGACTAGATCTGTGTAAGATGTAAGGTTGTCGGATGGGGATACGGGTAAGTCCTCAGCGACATCCTGGTTGGGAGATGTATGGTCAGGAGAGGTATGAGCCTCAGAAGCCTCCGTATCTGAGCCCTCTTCTATGAAGTCAGAGGAGTCTTGTTGTGGTATTTGGACTGAAGTGTCCTGTTGACAAGTTATGGGTTTAGTTTGGACGACGACCAGGGTTGGAGTGACTGGAGGGTTAAGAGGACGACTTGGTTCCAGAGTATGGTGGGAAGGATCGACTACAGGAGGACGTGACAGAGATGCTGAAGGTCTCGACTTGTGGGGTGATCTCGACCTATGAACAGAGTGGGACAAATAGCGATCCCAATCAGAATAGCCCGCCGGAGTCAACCACGGCATGGGTGGTGGATAAGCCCCGTACAAGTACCTCAACTGTCGTTGATCCCCCGACATCCTCAGCATGGTTTTCCCATATAGAGAGTAAGATCACGTGTATAGGGAGTTAGTTGTGGAGAGCTTCTTCATTCGTCAGAAAGCTCGGCCTTTCACTTGATTAAACAAAGACTCCTTGACATAGAACACCAAGAGCAGATTAGCCTGGTTTCAGTTAGATGCTCCACTTGAAGGTAGGGTTTCCTCCCCAAGGGTCTATTGCAGAATATTTTCTCTGTTTAACCACTCCTCATTATCGAAGAGCTTTTATGTTAGGCTGTTTTAATGTGCTGCCTTTGGCTGTATTGGGTGGTAGGTTCTCTAAGACTCCTCATGTGGATAGATTATGTCCTTGTGGTGTTAATGAAATTGAGAGTCTGGATCATATCATTCTACACTGTATCTTCTATCATGATGTTCAATCATCATATCTTGAGCCTGTGTTGAGAAATCTAGTAAACCATTCTGATGAATGGAGGATATTTTATTTACTCTCTACTCGATCCTCAGTGATTACGGAAATGGTGGCCAAATTTCTGTTTTGGGCTTCTGAGAGGAGGGAATGTATTATTAACTGCAAATGACTTCATATTCCTTGCCTGTCAGTTTTGATACAATATGCCAATAAAGGTTGATTGATTGAGAGTGAAAGAATTATAGGAAGTATATAGAAGTAGTTTAGAAGATATATGAGGTTGAATAAGGAATTAAGAGTTTTAAAGATTAGATAGAGGCAAAGCCTGATCTAAGCGGCTCTCCCTGTTGAGGCAGGAAAAGAACTGAAGAGGGCGACTCCCACAGGCAAGAGACAGGAAGTTTAAAAAAAAAAAATGTTCCTGCCTCTCTGATTGGACAGTGGGAATCACCCAGCAAGATGTCCTCCGCCTCAGAGGGAGAACACAGATTTGTCCTCTTGGAGAAAAAATGCTTCAGAGGGTGGACTCTATGGCATTATATTTGGCTGAGGCCTTTCTCCTCCCCAAACCCTGCCCAGACTCCACCACAAGATCTCCAGGAATTTCCCAACCTGGAGCTGGCAACTCTAGCAGGCCTGTGGAGTCAATGAATCCTCCCGCAAACACCACCCTCTCCCCCCTTCCTTTTACTGAAAGAACCAAGCGCTGGAATGCTGTGGTTGCCTAACAACTGCCAGTGAGGGAATCCATAGCTTAAAGCTATAAGTGCGTCTTCTATCATTTTTGAGTTGTTGTTTTTTTAAACCCCAATAGTTGGGCTCTTTTAGATTTCACATTTTTCTGCAAACCTGAGGCCCTTTTCAGGTTTGTAGAAAGATCTGTCTTGCACATTCACTGCTCCAGGTACTGGGTTTAAATATCCTAGGATCTGGCCGACTTTGCTAATAGTACATAGATAACAGTTTGCGGAATCCAGCTTATCTCAGTAGTACAGATGTTAACTTGGCAAAGATTTGTGATTTTTAAAAAAGTATCTGAGTAGACACTTTTCTTAATTACAGAATTTCCAAAGAGCTGACAGTAATACATTATTGCAAGTCTTCTTAAAGTAAAAAAAAATCTCAGGGAAAAATAATGCTGTTATTAAATCAAAGGGGATAGGTTTTCTGCAATGATCCGGGGGGCAAGGACACATGATTTTTGCTTCTGTAACTCTGCAAGGCATCATGTACATTGATGATGTTGTATAAATAAAAGTTGAGTTCAGATGGGTGTAAGCACTGCAAGAGAACTGCATATGAAGTCTCCCTACTCAACACTGTTCTCAAGGCTTGCAGAGATCATTTTTTTCAGAGATCTGAAAGCAGTACTCTTGCTCACTGCTAGCTACACAGAATTCACATATTGAGTTTTTCTGCTGCATTACTATCAGCATTTCACAATCTGAAACTACTGTTTAAAGCAAAAGCAAACAGAAAGCAAAATCAGCACAAGACTTACTTCTTGGCTCGTTTTTTGGCCTGCCTTCATGTAGAAAATGAAAACTGTATCAAAAGGGCGACACGGCAGCAGATCCAGGTAGCCAATGTCATCAAAAAAGCCAGGTAAGGAAGAATCAAGTGCAATCAGGTGAGGAGGTAGTCTACTGTTAGCCGGTTCCTGAACAAACAAAGAAGTCACTCAGACTGTATACCTCGATGCAGTATCTCGTTTGTAGTTACCTATGAATTGTGATGACTTGTAACACATTTACTAGGTAGGATCCAAATATTACTACAAACATTTGGGGAGGAACAAAGTTTGAGTCCAGTGGCACCTTTAAGACCAACAAAGTTTAATTCTGGGCGTAAGCTTTCATGTGCCTGCATACTTCTTCAGATACATGTGTGCATGCACACAAAAGCTTATACCCAGAATTAACCTTTGCTGGTCTTAAAAGTGCCATTGGACTCAAACTCTGTTCTGTTGCTTCAGACAAACATGGCTACCCACCTGAATCTGTCTTCATTTGGGGAGGAGTTTACATCAGTATGCAGCAACGAGAAGAAGAAGAAGAAGAAGAAGAAGAAGAAGAAGAAGAAGAAGAAGAATGGCAAGAATACTGTGCAATGGGGAGGGGAGATGGAAGAGGCCCCTGCTTACTGTTTACATCCTAGAAAAGAATACAACAGCAACAAATAAAAGGAAGAGGAAGAACTGCTACTGCTCAGTCTAGGGATGCATCAGTAATGCAGTCTTCTTAATATAGTATTAAAGAAAATACACAAGTAGCTCTCTGAACAAGCAAGTGTAATGAAAAAAAAATCTATTAAAATTTGTCATGAACAGAAATGTACTTTTCTTTTCCATAGACAACATAAGACTAGGAACAAAAAACCCTAATCTTAGAGTATACAATTGCCCCAAATCTGCTGAACATATAACAAAGGCCGACAGCACCATAGTAGTTAATGCATTCTGAAAACAGTTCTCAAAGCTATTCTTCTTTTATCATTTATCATACAGCTCTGCCTATTCGTCAACTGTTAAGCTAAATAAATATTAGCAGAAGTATCAACTAATACTTGGCAGCATTTGAAGAAAACTGCACACTATCAAGCAAAGTAGTCTCAGGTCACCTTCAATGCTCCTAGTGATAGAAATCCAAAGTGAGAGAGGAAGAGCCATGCGGTTTGGAACTCCTGTGCAGGAGGTGGTGGCTTGCACTCTGTGATGGGATCAGGGAAACTCTTCTTCCGCCACTTTTCTTCCATCCGCTGCTTGATAGACTTCTCATAGAGAACCTGCTGTTCCATCCCATTCCTCAGCTTCTCGTGCCGCTCTTCAAGCTGAAATGTATTTAATATGCATCTCAGACACAGAAAATTGCTGAGGGCAGCCGTCTAAGAAGAGCAGTACACTGAAGTGGTGGCATTTGAAAAGCTGCTGCAGTTTCACTCCTGGGTTCTGTCCAATAAAGTTCTGACAAAGTTCTGAAGGTATTCTTCAGCTGCTAGAATAGTCCCCCCTGCTCGGCATTTGTATTTTGACCCTCCAGAGCAAATCAGTGCAAGACAATAAAAACCAATATAACTTTTCACTTTCCAAGAAAATGGAAGGAACAGGATATTCCATTCCTATCCAACAGCAACTTTTTGGGAAAAGAGATCTGCTGAAGCAACGCTTTGCTTAGAGTACAGAGTATGCAAAGACTGTCCTGAGGGTTTTACTGTTTTCACTGGAAAGTGCTAATGAAATACACACGACGCACCATGCAATACGTTGTGGTCATACAAATACAGCCAAAGCAGTAAAATTACTGAGAAGACCATTGCTAGCCCTTAAGTGGAAAGCTTAAGCAAATTTTACTGAATGAAGGCATGTAAGAAATAATCAAAATACTACAAACTTCTTACTTCCTCAGTAATTATTTCATGTAAGTCTGGAATGCTCAGGTCAGCTTTTACAAAAGGAATCTTGTCCACTTCCTCAGGAAATGGCCGATGTTTCATGGTATATTTGAGTCTGACATCATTCTTGGGTGCAGGACAAGGTTCTGGGACAAACATCTGTTTCAAGGGAAAAACCAATATTATAAATTATGTGAAATACTGCAAATATTGATGATATAATAGCAGTAATGTATACTACACCATAATATGCATCACTGCAGCAACTGAGTTTTTTCATCATTCTAAAATTAGCATTAAAGATGTTATTTGATTTTGTTTGCATGGTGTCTCAGAACTCTCCAAATCAGAATATAAAGCAGGTAGATATGAAAAGCTACAGGTCTGTGGAGAGTTCCACTTTCAACACCTTTTATGTTAACTTGAGAGCATGTTGGGAAGTCACACCTGTGCCTGAGGGTATATGCCCTTTATGCCTGAACACACAGTCTTTTAATGAGCACATATCTTCAGATTTGGATGCAAGCACAAGAATGCAACTATATTCAAAAACTCCAACATTACATAAAGGGCCTTTACAATGAAAAAATTTAGTCCTGTACAGGATGCCTCAAATGTGAAGAGGTGGAGTATTTACTTCATGTGCAGTCTCCCCACCAACTGAGACTCAAGGAAGATTACAAAACTAAAATCAGTGCTGTAAAAACAGTGAAATACACACTGCTGAGGCTGCCTGAATGAAAACAAAACTACATTAAGTTTTGCTAAAACTAATAGCTCCTTACAGGATACTGTAACATTTCTAGCCTCTCTCAGCTGCCTGGAGGCCAATTTTTAATGTGGCAGACAGTTTCACTATGGGCTCTGACAAGGACCTTTTGATTTGCTTTGGCTCCTCTTGGCAAAAGACACAGCTGCTGGGCCCATGCATGTCTCCCAGACATCCCACGGATCAGAATTGTGACTGAAGGGAAAAAGTCATCTGGGGGGAAAGTGAACAGAAGTCTTCAGTGTATTAGCAGAGATAAAATAAACATGACATTATGCCATTACGCCAAGAAATACCTGCAATACCACCCACAGTATAGTGTTTGAGCTGTGAACCAGGAAGTCCCAAGCTGAACTTATTTTCTTTCATAAACCTATCAGGTAAATCACCTACCCTGCGGTCTTAGCCCATCCTCCCATTGGCAACATGGACATAACAACAATGTACCTTTTATTTTATTTTATTTATTTATTTATTTAGACATTTTTACCCCGCCCTCCCCGCGAGCGGATTGCTGTAAAAATTACTGACACATTAAGTGCTTCAGGATTTTCAAAAAGCACTACAGATATGCTAAAAATTGTTACCTAACACGATACTTCAAGGGTGATCATACTGAGCCTAATCTGAAAACAAAAAAATTCTGAGCCAAAGAAACCCGAACCGCAAGTGTTTGAACAAACCCTCTTCACCTACATAGTATTATGTCCAACAAACCGCAAGCAAAGCTCTGTTTTGGGAGAACTTTCTTGCTTCCCACCCCCCATAATGCCCTCCAAAACACTGCCCCAGGGTTCAGGGGATATCTAGGAATATTAAGCGCAGAGCCAGAATCTGCACTGGGAGGGCGGGGAATCAGAAAGAAGCCACGTTTCCTCTGACTTGTAAAATTACCCCCTACGCAAGCACAAAGTAAGTGTTTCATAGTCTGATTGTGAAACAAAATTTATTCAGCTGTATGACTACCTTAAGGGCAGAGAGTCAAGAAAACCAGGTGTTATTACAGTATTTATTAAGGACAGCATTAAGATTTTTACCATCCAGAGGAAGAATCACGTTTTTCCACCTTGGAAGTATTTATTTGTTTTGTCGTGATTTAATAGTTTTTACTGTTTTATACTGTTTTTATGTATGGGCTTGTGCCCCTGTGTAAGCCGCCCTGAGCCCGTTTGCGGGGAGGGCGGGGTAAAAATGCAATAAATAAATAAATAAATATATCAACTGGCTTCAAATTAAAGTTTCAGTACTTTCTGTTTTTAAAAATTCTCTCATTAGTACATCAGCCACCTATAGCTATATCTTAACCTCATATTCACATTTATTACAGACAGCTGATTCAGATGCTGATCTAGGGAGTTTGAAGATCACAGACTTAAGATCACTCACCAAAAGGCAGTTTAAGCTTTGTTATTCTATGGATGCGTGTATGATTTATTCTCAAACATATTTTACATTACTATCTAATACAAGCATGGCATGTAAAAATGAAGGATCTGGCAGGTGAAGTTTCGTATACCCTAGCAGACATCTCTGCATTCTAATCTCCTGCCAGAATTGTGTGTACTCTCTGCCAATATCCATTTCTGCCAGTACTGTGTAACATGTATTTAGATATTTATAGCTTGTTCTTCCTGATGGGGACCCAAAGCAACTTGTGGCACCAGTCTTCCCCTCCTCCATTCTTATCCTAACAACTATTCTGCAAAGGTAGGTTAGGCTGGGAGGTAATGACTTTCACAGCTGGAAAGCTTTCACATCTGAATGGGATGCAAATTTGGGTCTCAAGTATCGTATTTGGCACACTGAAATGAAACAGGAAAACACTCTTAGTAAGACAGTGTACAACTTTTGCCCTCATTCTCCAGGCCATGCTATACTATGTGAGAAAGCCCGAAATGTATCTACTCACTTTGCTCATTCCCTAGGGGCTGCTCCAACATTGCAAGGATGACGCTGTTATCCAGGACAAAGTATCGAAAGCTGTATTTGTTTATGGAAGGCAGACGGGAGTATTTAATTAGAGTGATCTCATTCACCAAGCTGCATGGGGAGGCAGGGCCACTGGGAGAAGGAAAAGCTCCAAGTATTTGCATAATACTGCAAAACAAGAGACCAGTTGAGTCAAACACACACAGCCTTGAAAACGCCACTCTGGAAGGGCTGTATATAGGGACAATTCAGTCTTGAACAGGTTCACTGAGAAGCAGCACATCAACTTTCAAATTAAATAAATCTTCCCAAATGAGCTGTAATCTTAAAGACTCATTTAGTCTATGTTCCTAACTAAAATGATCAATACAAACTGAGGCCCACAAGGGCATTGCTGCACTTCACAAAATTCTGCTCCAGAGGAAGAAGCAAATCTTTAGGTAATGCTTCTAAAAGATGGACCTATTCTTAGCCCTTTAAACCAACACAGGAAGAGCTGGCTAAAGTCCCATGCAACTTTAGGCCACTGTACAGCTTGCATAAGTAGAATCTCACCACCCATGAGGAAGAAGGTAGCCATCACTGTTCTAAGGGACACATGTTCCTCCCTTCTCCACCCAATCAAACTGTAAACTATGGTTAGCAACCTTCCATACCATGTGAGTGTAGCTTCAGCTGCATCCTTCACCCTCATGGAAGCAGGGTTTGGCTCTTTATCTCCTTTGTATTTGACCTCTTGTTCACTGTTTCTGGATTTACTTCCTGAGATGCCGAGTTCCACAATCTCTAACACTTCCTTTAAACAGTCCTAGACGGGAAAGCATCATATTGTCGGTTAAGTTGAGAGAAAAAGACTGGCTCAAGACCACATAGTGAGCTTCATGGCCAGGTGGGGACTTGATCCTGCTGTGGGCATCCTAACTACTATTGTCACATCAGTTCTCCTTTGACCACAATTCTCTAGGCATGTTTTCATACCATCATTTTAATTTACAGTGATGGAGCACTGCCCGCTGTACAAGCTTAGAGGGAGGAAAGCCTTTTTGCTTTCATCTAAGTGGCCTAGACTCCTAGTGATTCCACCCATTGTATGGATGCGTTCAAAAAATCAAGCATCAGTATGAAAATTCAGGGAAGAGACTATGAAGCAAAAAGTCCAAGAGGAAAAAGAAAAATCAAGCACGACCAGGTCCTTTGGGTCCCCAATGTGACCCGTGATACCTATACCACATTTTACACAAATGACTGAATCTGCTTCACAGCTAGGAGACTTAATGACCTTCTTAATGACCTTGGGTCAGTCACAAGCTCTGGCACAGCTGTTCCTGAAAGAGCAGTTTGTGTCAGAGTTCTCTCAGCCCCACCTACCTCACAGGGTTTCTGTTGTGAGGAGGGGAAGGGAAAGGAGTTTTTAAGCCGCTCTGAGACTCCAAGTGAAAGGTGGGGTATAAATCCAATCTCTTCTTCTTCTTCGGACAAAGGGACTCACCACTAGCTGTTGCCTAACACCATCACAGGTTTTGTACCTACTAGCTTTCCAAAGTCTTTGCCTACCTATAAATAAGACAGAAACAGCTCAGCGGCACTTACCTTTTCATCAAGCATGTCTGGATGTTCAGTGAGCCAGACGCATAGACACTGGAATGCTGCTACTATCATGGAGTGGAGATCTCGAGAATGGAGAGGGGCAGGACGACTGCACTGATGCACAATGTAGCCACACACTGAGCTAATGGCTCTCTTCCTGTCAGAAGGATCAACAGCAACCTTCACCTGAATTGAGCAGCACAGATAAATGTTCAGCTGGAAGCCTCTTTAGGAAGTCACCAAAAAACCCAAAAAAACTGTTCTGCCACTTCCCTCCTACAAGTCTATGTAAAGTGTAATGCCAGGCTCGCTGGGGGCTATAAAAGAACAGAAAAATAACTTTAATGAAGGCAAACAATAAAACGACCTACAGGGACTATATATTTTGGTGCCATTGTAGCTGCTTTGCTACTTGGTTTTAAAAACCCTGCAGCCTTTTGCTAATTTATTTTGTTTTAGCAAAGATGCTATTCACTTTGAATTCTTTAGCCACAGAAGGAAGAAATAATCCCAATGAAAGGAAACAGAATTCTTCAGCAAACAACCCACTTCTCCGCAGTTCTGTTTGGTTGTAGTCAGGGGTCTTGTTGTAGAAAAAGAGCTGCCGGAGCTCATTAGCATAACTCATTAGCATAACTTATTTGC